AATGTATACATGTCTTTTTATTTGGAATACTTATAATAGCTGTAAAATGATAATCTCATAAGGCCAACTTAAAAAAAATCTTCAATTTGCCAAACAGCAGTGGATCTRGCTGACTCAGCAACTCCTTTCAATCAACATCTGATTGAGTGGTTTGCCCCATTGATTTGATGGTTCCCCACGGACCCTTTTTATTTGTGCTGATACCARATGTGGTGGCACGCAAACCATCTTGAAGTTTACCCTGTTTAATGTTTAAACAAGTGATAGTGACAGAAAAGCGCTGACTGCGTGCTCAGAGGGCACTTTGTCAGGGCAAACGCTGCGCTCTCTGACGTTTTTAGAGACCAGATATCAAATGAAAACCATTTATGGGTGCACATAAATTCCCCAAGAACAAAGGCGTGTAAAAACTGATGATGCCTGAGCTGAGATTTTTGGTCTTTCATAGATCTTTGTGGGTGGATAAGTTACTCTTTTTTATTCGTTTTAGAGCTTGCACTTATTAACCTGTGGTTTGGAGGAGTTTGGTAAAAACAACTAATTACTAAAGTATTAAGAATTGAATAAAAAGAACTGATGAAGTGTTTTAATTTCAAAAATATTGTGAGAGCTATTGATGGATGAATAACATAAAATACAAAGTGGGCTCCAACCTGTGAACAGCAGGTAGCCAGTATAGCACTGAAGTTTAAAGAGATATTCTGACTTGTGCTCTGCCTCTGACAGGGAGTAACTATGAAGGGCATTCTTTTCTGAAAATTTAACACTTGACAATCATTTGTTTTAAAACAAAATTACAATTTAATCATGTGTCATGCATAACTATAGGGATCTGATATTAAGATTCTGCCTTTAGGAAGAAACGGACTTTAAATTGAACCTGCATTGCACTCAATCATAAAAAAAGAAAATACATTAATGCCCCAACACTTTAGACAGAATGACAGCTCCTGTCTAATTTTATTGCTAAGACAAGGCACAAAAACTGGATTTATAAAATAAATGTTTGCTAGTTTTTGGTTAATCTGTGGGTATTCCCTCCCCTCTTTTTTCTTGTTCCCACACTGATATTATTAGTCAGGTTGTAAAAGTTCGTAGACAGCTCTGCACAGCTGTGCTAAAAAATTACATTCAAATATAATTAAACCCTACTGGAAAAGAACAAAAAAAAAAACCAGTAAAAAAACAAAACTTAATTTATGGACAGATAGTTAATGAGCAAATTAACTCATTTAACAAATATTTCCACAGAGTTTGAAAGAATTTACCAGCNAATGAGCAAATTAACTCATTTAACAAATATTTCCACAGAGTTTGAAAGAATTTACCAGCAAAATGTCTACCATAAAAAAAATAACTCAAACACAACCCCGAAAGTTTTTTATTTTTTGCATCTTTTTAGGAAAACTTTCAGCTTCTCATTAAACCCTACGGGAAAAGAACAAAAAAAAAACTGTAAAAAAACAAAACTTAATTTATGGACAGATAGTTAATGAGCAAATTAACTCATTTAACAAATATTTCCACAGAGTTTGAAAGAATTTACCAGCAAAATGTCTACCATAAAAAAAATAACTCAAACACAAACAGAACTTAAAGAATCTTCTGGTTTGTCTGTTTTAATGCCCCAGCTAATTGTTTATCTTGTGTTTTATTTTAATTGGATTTTAACTGGATTTCCTGTTTAAGAGCTAATTTTATATCCTCTGTTTAACTGTAACTCTGTTATTTTTGCAGCCAAGGCAGTGATGAGAAGTGAAGGCATGAGAACAAGCTCTCCGAGACTAAAAATACTGTGAAATTATACTGACATCTGGTGGAGACAAAGAAGCTAGCAGGTGGTTTAGGTGGAAAACAGTGCAATAAACAAATGTAAAGAAAAGCAATATTTGCTATCATGGCAAAGTCTTAAAAAATAATAAGCAAAAGTAGGTTTAGAACAAAGAGTAAGCAAAATTTTTACTAAAAARACAAATAAAAGTCAATAATTACATGCCACTACTTTTCTATCCTCTATTAATTCCTAGATACCTCAGATTTGTTGCATCAATGGGAAAACATTTTTAAATCTCTACTGTGATCTCTTTTGCAATGACAGACCCACATCCTAACAATTTCTGCTGACCATGTGGGTAGTTCAGCTTCTTAAAATCTGTACYTTTACTGTCTAATCCTGAACACTTTTAAATGGAAGAAAATAGATTTGCTTTTTAACCCTGCTGCTGGCCTTGGGTCAAAATGACTCATGAGGAGGCTTAAGTTAGAATGCACGTTTTTTGTAAGCAGTTGTTCTCATYGAACTTTAGATCCACAAAACTCACTGAATTTGTCAAAAAAAAAAGAGTAAAGCTGCCACACAAAGTTCAAACCTAAAGAAAATAAAATGTTTTGATTCGCTCCCTGCGGTAACATCTGTGCTTCTAACTTTCCATTTTTCACGCAGCCCGGCTCCTTGGCGAGACTCACCTTAGAGGTCGAACTGCTGGGAGATTTCATTTCATSTAAAACTTAGTTGCTAACTGCTGCCTTGATGAGTTGCGATTCAGCCAGTGTTTCTTGAAGACGTGCTCAGCTGGAGTTTCAACAACATGCTGATGAGACAAAGTCTGTACGGAACAGAACCCCTTTTCTGTTCATTAAAACAGGCTAAAATTTAAAAGCTAAAATATCATGTAGTGAATTTGATAAAAAATGATCAAACAGGTTGAAAGTTAAAGTTTTATTTTATTTTATTTCATGATTTGAGCATGTTTTTGAACAAGGATATTTTGCAAAGTCTGTTCTCATTAAAAAGTTAAAAAAGRTAAAAATAAACAATCACCAGATAAATGTTTTATTTTTTTTGTACAGACATAAAAATATAAATGTTCTCTGAGGAATAGATAAACACTGTTGCTTCAAAGTGAAAAGAACAAACTGCATGTTTAAGAACAACTTTACCTTAAATTACTCCCAGATCTGATCAATGAAACAGTTTTTATAACAAGGATTGTATAGTGTAAAAGCTTCGTTAGTGCACATTTGCCNGTTAGTGCACATTTGCCTTTGTTACATTTTCAATTAAAAAAATAATATTTGGTTAATTTAAACTGAACTCAGCAACAAAATAGTTCAGGCCACAGTTTCAAAATATAAAATATATTGTTGATTTTAGATTTTTTTGCTTACTTACATTAATTGTAAGTACTAACATACCATCATGGCTGGATGATGATCAGAACATGTTAGAGGAAAGCGTTGAAGCTTACAATTAAACYTAAGTTTCCATCTTTATACTGTATATCTTGCACGGTTATGTATGCAATGTATGACCGTGTTGATCGGGGAATTCTGTGGGGGTGGAGGTGGGTTGGGTGGGGGGACTCTGGGAGTATGGAGTGTCTGGGTTGCCCTTTGGCAATCCAGTCCCTGTACGACCAAAGCAGGAGCTGTGTCCACTTTCTTGGCACAAAGTTGAGCTCGTTCTCAGTGCGAGTTGGACTCTGTCAGGGTTGTCTCTTGTCTCTGATCCTGTTTGTAGTGTTTATTGACAGGGCATCAATTTGCAGTTGGGGAGAAGAGGGTGTCTGCTTTGGGAAGCACTGGGTCTCATCTCTGCTTTATGCAGATGATGTGACTCTGTTGGCGTCTTCAGGTCAAGACCTTCAAGACCTTCAGCATGCACTGGGACGGTTTGCAGCCTGGAGTCAGTTCCTCTAAATCTGATGCAGATTCTTGACCAGTAAGGGGTGGAATGCCCCCTCCGGGACAGGGGTGAGTCTCTACCTCAGGTGGTGGAGTAAGTATATGGGTGTCTTGTTCACGAGTTGGTGCGATGGAACAGGAGATGGATCGACAGATTGGGGCCTCATCCTTAGTAATGAGGGCATTAACTTGGTCAGTCATAATGAAGAAAGAGCTGAGTCAAAAGTCAAAGCTCTCAATTTTCTGGTCTGTCTATGTTCCAACCCTYTGGTCATGAGGAGTYTATCATGACAGAATGAGATCCTGGATACAAGTGGCCAAAATTAGCTTCCTTCATAGGGTGGCCGGGCTCAGAGTAGAGRCCCTGCTCCTCTGCATCGAAAGGAGTCAGGTGAGGTGGATCTGAAAGCCACCRTTTAGAGGTGTTCCATGCATGTCCCACTGGRAGGTGACCCTGGGGAAGACCCAAAATTAGCAGGAAGGATGATATAACCTTTCTAGAATGGGAATGCCTRGGGGTCCCTCAGGACAAGCTYGAAAGTGTAGCTGGGGAGTAGGATGTCTGGGTCTCTCTCCTAGATCTGTTATCTCCACAACCAGACAAGCGGCAGAAGATGAAGTTGAAGATATATATTTTGCGGTATAAAATAAAAAGTGAATCTTGTTTTCATGAAGAATAATAGCTTTAAAACTAGTCAAAGTCTTTGTTTATTGTACTCAATCAAAGCTCTGATTGTAAAATTATGCAATTTTCCAGTCAAAACTAAGCCTTACTGGTAAAGTTCCTCCCGTCATTATTACTATTACACAGAACATCTAGTCATTTTGAGTGAACTTATCTTTTCTAGATATAGGCTAATTTCAGT